CCAGGTTTAAGCCACCAAGTCTGGCCGCTCAACTGAACCGAGCTTAAACTCGTGCTGAAATCCTGAACCGGCTTTGTACAACCGCGATCATCACCCGGCTATCAGGTTCAGCACGAGTTCAGCGTTGAACTCGTGTTGAGCTCTGATTGTACAACCCGGCCTTAGGATATTAAGCCTAAAGGGTAATTTTGCAACTTTACTGCCACCCTTCTGGTGCCTTTTGCCTGAAAATTGCACCTCCGGATACAACCGCGATTTGAACCAATTTTTCTAAACTTGCATTCAAAATTCACTAATTCCTCATGTAGGGCTTGTTATTGTTATTAGACAAATCCTGTTTTTGTCCGGATGAAAAACAAGATTTTTGCGCTGAAGGTTTGTTTTTATCGGGTCAAACCGCCCACGATGGATTCGGTTGCGTATCCATAACCTGCGGGCGCTTTGCAAAAAAACACGCGCTGTTTGTCAACAGGCATATTTTCGCTCGATCTAATTGTTTCCCAAAAGGATAAACATCGTTAGGGGTTTCAAGAGAAAAGCCGAAATTCAGTTTGAATACTCTACATTTAAGAAACAATCACAAAAACTTTGCCAAATACATCATCATAATCTAGTGCCGAATTCGTCTATGATCTCTTAACCGTAGTAGGCGACTGGATTGTAGGCAGAGTAGGCCAATGGGGAAGCTACATAGGGAGAAGATACTACAGGGGCGCTGTAGGCAGAGACTACAGGGGCGGCTCCATAGGCAGAGACGTAGGGCGAGCTGTAGGCCAATGGCACGGCTCCTAGGCCTGGTTTGGGGGCGGCGGAAGTGGCGACCAAAAGGGCGGCAATGGTGGCAGCGAACTGGAAAAGAACTTTCTAGTCGACTGCAACTTACTGGACGCTTATACTTACGAGCTTGAACATTTTGAGTGATAGTGGTAGTAGACTTTGGATCTGACTGATGCTGATTGTTGCAAAGTTTGGGCTATTTATAGTCGGCGACTTTTTCGCATTAGAAGGCTTATTAGCATATTAAGACAGGGCGTGGCCGATTGGGACGCGACAACAATGCTATCAGCTAGTTCCAGTCACAGAAACCGGCAGCAGTAACCCTTGACATTTCCGAAATTATCTTGACTACTTAATCCTACATGTTGTTGAAATGCTTCTATTGTTTGAATGCAAATTGGCGGAAAAAACTGCCAATTTTGATGATTTTCAAGCAAATCCGCAATCTGTTGATGTGGAAGCAGTAGGAGCCTTCAGCCGTAAGTAGTGCATGTCGGATGGCTTAAAAAATGTTTTTTAATTCCAATTTGCGAGATTTAAGTTACATTTTCAGAACTTAAAGGCTCAACTCGACTATAAAATTTTGAAGTTGCTGCTCGCTTTGTATTCGAAGATTTATATGTTTGAAGAGAAAGCGCATTTGGGCCAGAACGCTCATTGTATGCACTAAATTCGAAAAAGATCGAAAAAAATCAGAAATATACCAGATTTGAATGAAACTCTTGTAAACTGCCGAGTGCACTGTCTTCGGCAAACCGGAAAAAACCTCAAGTTACTACTTGCTTTGCCATCGAAGTTAGGAAGTTTTCAAGAGAAAGCTCATTTTTGCGAGAACGCTTTTTTTCGGGACAATATTTACCAACAATATAAAATTTGAAATTTGCGAGATTTGAGTGAAAGTTTTCCGACTTGGACACTGAACTCTCTTCGTTGCACTGTAAAAGTTTCAAGTTAATACTTGATTTGCGTTCGAAGTTATGAATTTTTCAAGAGAAGGGTCATTTGTGTGGGAACGCGCATTTTCTGAACAAAATTGGCCAAGGGCGGAAAAATCAGAAATGCGCCCGATTTGAGTAAAACTTTTGCAAACTGTAGACTGTCTTCTGAAAACCAGAAAATTATCAAGCTGCTACTGGATATGTATTCGGACTTATGAATTTTTCAAGAAAGCACGTTTTTGGGCGAGAACGCTCATTTTCTGCATTCGATTTTCCAAGCTCGAAAAAATCACAGTTTTGCGCGTTTTAACTGAAATTACCACATTATTTATTACTTGCAGATTGAACTGCTTTCTATTGACTCTAAAATTTCGAGTGGCCATTCGGTTCGCATTCAACGTTATGATTTTTTCACGAGAACTCGCATTTGTGCGATTAAGCTCATTTTCAAAACAAAATTTGCCGAGTCCGGAAAAATCAGAAATTTTGAGATATTTAAGTGATAGTTTCAAAACGTGCAGACTCAACTGTCTTCTCTGGATGGTAAAAATTTCAAGTTCTTACTTGCGTTGGGTTCGAAGTTATGATTTGTTTGCAACTCCGAAAAAATCATAATATTGCGCGACTTGAGTGAACTTTTGAGGACGTGCAGACTGATCTGTCTTCTCTGGAGGATAACAATTTAAAGTTCTTACTTGCTTCGCATTCAAAGTTATGAATTTTTCAAAAGAACTCGCATTTCTGCAATAACGCTCATTTTCAGAACAAAATTTGTCAAGTCCGGAAAAATGAGAAATTTTCAGCGATTTAAGTGAAAGGCTTGGGACGTGGAGACTGAACTCTCGTTTTTGTACTGAAAAATTGTCGAGTTGCTACTTGATTCGTGTTCGACGCTATGAATTTTTCCAGAGAGCAAGCGTTTGTGCAATAAAGATAATTTCCAATACAAAATTTTCCAAGTCCGGAAAAATTACAAGTTTTTAGCGATTTGATTGATATTTTCAGAATGTACCAACTCAAGTTTCTACTCTGGAGTACAAAAATTGCAAGTTTGTACTTGCTTTCGTTGCGAAGTTATGAATTTTTCAAGTGAACGCGCATTTGGGCAAGAACGCGAATTTTCAGCACAAAATTTGCCGAAACCGGAAAAGTCACAATTTTTCGCGATGTGAGTGGAATTTTAAGAAACTGTAGACTCAACCGTCTTCCGTGGTCAAGAAAATGTTGAATGCTTTTTGCTGTTTCTTAGAAGTTATGAATTTTGCAAGATAACTCGCATTTGTGCAATAACGCTCATTTTCAGAACAAAATTTGTCAAGTGCGGAAAAATCAGAAATTTTCAGAGATTTAGGTGAAAGATTTGGGGCGTAGAGACTGAACTCTCTTCTTTGCACTGGAAAATTGTCGAGTTGCTACTTGATTTCCGTTCGAAGTTATGAATTTTTCAAGTAGCGTTTGTGCAGTAAGGCTCATTTTCAATACTAAATTTTTCAAGTCCGGAAAAATTGGAAGTTTTTAGCAATTTGATTGATATTTTCAGAACGTACAAACTCAACTGTCTTCTCTGGAGGATACAAATTTCAAGTTCTCACTTGCTTCGCATTCAAAGTTATCAATTTTTCAAGAGAACTCGCATTTGTGCAATGCCGCTTATTTTCAGAACAAAATTTGCCAAGTCCGGAAAAATCACAAATTTTTAGACTGTTAGTAAAATTTTCGGAACTGGCAGAGTCAACTGTCTTCTATTGCTCTTGAGAGCGTGAAGTTGCGGCTTCCGTCGGATTCGAAGGTATACAATTTCCAAGGAGTTAAGTTTAAAGGCAATTGAAATTGTAAGTCAAATTTAAAAACCCATGAGTTTTTGCTTTATTAGATACATTTCTCCTAAAATTTACAATTAAGACACAAATATTCAACGGGAAATCAGTTCCACAGCTCGTCCGTTCCGATATACAGAGTGGGTGTAAACCAAGCGGAATCGTTCATCAAAGCTGCCATCCGGCGCCCTCAGAGCGTACAACGTGTTGAACAACGGCATGGCCTCAAGGGCCAGAAAGACCGCAAAAAACTGCAAAATTCACCCCATGGAAATGTCCTTGAATCGAATAAACTCGTCGAAACTTACCAGGCAGAAAATGGCGAAACAGGACATGTTCCTCGAGATCCCCAATAACAACTGCAAGCCTTGAAATGCCTGCAAGATTCGGTCACATCTCGACAAGAATGGCCCGACTACAAGTGATTTGAATGACAATTTGATCGATCTAAGAATATAATGGACTTTTAAGTCCTCCTGAGCATCGACAGGCCTTGAAAGCACAGCTGCCGGATTAATTTCAATTATAGTTCTTTTCGCGGGTTTTTCCTCTCCCAACCCGCCAGTCGTTACCGTAGGTTAGTTACCAGGACTCTGCAGTGTCAATTAAGGTAATTGTTGCAAAAATTCCATCGGCTCGTTAGTCGGCGACTGTTTGCAGCTGAAAGTCGGCTTGATTTCAACGACTATTTGCGAATCAGCTTAATTGGACATTTTCCTTTAAATGGGTCGAGTTTTCCATCAAGGTCCAGTTTAGAGCAACAAGATATTCTGTTGAATTTTCTCATCCAAGCGATTTTAGCGCCGTCACTGTGGCGGGGTTCTAAAGCGTTTTAGTGCGGTAGCAGTGCAACTTTCGCAACTGGATGAAAGGGTTAATCACTCACTGAGATACTTTTAGCAATTTTATTGATTTTGAAAGTCAGTCGTTACCTAAGACATTTTGCATGAAAATGTTTCCTTAAGCACTAATCAGTCGGGGCGTCGATTATCCAAGAGTCCATTTCTTCGCCAAGTGGTCGTTTAGATCGTGTAGAGGGGGGCGTTGTAGTAGTAGCTAGAGGGGTAGTAGCCGAGGCCCAAGTTGCCATAAGAGTAGGTTTTGGCGTAGGAGAGGGCGGGGTACCGGTACTCGTAAGCGAGGGGAATTTCTCCCACCGGATAAGTCAGGGCGAGACCTGGTTTGGGAGCAGGCGCCGGCACTGGTGATGGTGCACACATTGCGCAGACCACAAGGGCGAAAAAAGCGAGCTAAACCCCCAAAAAAATCAGTCATTAATCTTGCTCGGAAAATCTTGAACTTACCAGTAGCTTGAACATCGTGTTGTTGGACTTGTCACTGTTAGACAACTTCTGCAGGCCCAACGGGCCTACAGGCCTTTTATATGCGCGTGCACTCGATTTTTTCCTTTCCCAAGTGCAACCGCTCAATTGCCGCATTTTTGCCACGCCAAGAAGGCAAAAAGAAGAATGCAGTAGGCCATCCTGACCTAGCCTGATCCATCGAAGCCACATAGGCTGGACGGTGGACCATTCTATCTTATCTTGCCCAAAACGTCGCGCTGACTTTCCTCTTGCTTCCACCGGGAAGTTCCAGAAGTTCTCATTCAACTTCCACGATCAAGTTCTCGATGGCCAAACCGTCAAGAATCTTTAAATTCCCCATTCTGCTTCCACTCGACAATCGTCGATGGCTTTGGTCAAGCACTTCTTGAGCGAATCGCTCCAATAAAACAGACGACTGCCGGTCGTACCAGTTTTTAACGTCAACGCTTTTAGTTTCATTGAAACGAGATGAAGATCGCATTGACCTTTGCAGGCTTTGCAAGAATCCAATGTTGGGTAGTTTCAGAAGAAAAACAAATAAAAGCTTCTTAACTAGTTTTATTAACAAAATTGGCAAAAATCCCAGCGGTTTGCGTGCGTAAAGGTAAGCGTTGATAGGCAGGAACTACTAGGTGGTTCTATCCATAGTTGGCGTATCCATAGGGGTAAGAATAGGCGCTGTATGGGTAGGAGTAAGCCGAGTAGTATTGGGGAGCCGCCACTGGATTAGGGGCAGGGTTGGGGAATGCGAACGGGGCCGCCACTGTGCCTCCAATGGCGAGCAGCGCCAGAACCAACACAACGAATGCCTAAAACCTACAGCTTTAAACCCGACAGCCACTAGATTTAATCGTCACTTACCAGTTTAGCCATTTTAATTACACTGATAGATGCTGGATGAGAAACTGCACTGTTTTGATGCTCTTCCACTGGGATTCTCCCCTTTTTATACTGGCGTTTTCATTATAATTCGGCGATTTTAAATTCAACGCACGACTTCCTGTGATCTGTTACATAAACAGCAGTGATTCCCGTGATGACATAACAACATTTTTTTCGGGTTGCAAACAAAGCACGTTCGAGTAGTGAAAAACTCAGATTGCTCAGAACAATTCCATTTAAATTGCATTGAATTCGGCCGGCAATTCCATCCCCTAATTGCGCCCCATTCGGCCTCATTACGACCGGAATAAGTAGAAATCAGGAAAATGCCGACAATTTGCGGTTTCGCCACGTAATTTAGTATTGCGCATCTACTCTCCAATTTGTCACGACCTGAGACAAGTCGAAGACGTTCTAAGAAGGTCGTTAGAGCTACTAATTTGCCATCGAAACCAAAGCAGGCATTGAATTTTCAAGTTGCCACTTTAAATTAGTTATAAATAATAAACCTTCCACTTCCGGGGCGTTTTGGCTAGGTCCTAAAGCGCCCCATACACGTACAGGATTAAAGCGGCATCAGCTGAGAAAAAATGGGTTTTAACTGTGAAACTGTTCAGCATGTTACCAATGACAATCGACTACATTAACCTGTGAACATGCCTGCTTCGTTTGTGCAATTGTCTAATATTTTTGGCAACCTACTTCAATTAGCTGGCGTGTATGGGTCGCTTTTGCTCCTTTGTTTGGTCACAGAATCCTCCGGGTTATTAATTTCTGCAAAGTTAATCGGGGCTTAATCAAAAGAAACGTTCGTTTTCGCGGAAATTATTGAAAAAGTGCTTAGAGCCATCGAAAACTTTGCGCAAACTGCTGCTAAAGTTTAATTAGTTTCCTGGAAGTAAGATTTCAAAAATTGCTGTGATCGCACCGGGTACATCAAGTTAAAGCTACATAAACAAGCGGGTTTCTATGGCAACTGCTGTGGTTTTTCCTGTCTTGACCAGGGCCTTATTAAGCCATCATATTAGGAGGTGCGATCACAAGCTGGTTCGTTCGCTGGTGACATTTATCCACCGATATGAAGCAAAACCGTCAAAACTTGATCGATTTGTATGCAAGTGCGAACGTGTCCAAGGTTGCACGCCCCATTTGATCGGTGTCAGCTCGCACGCTGTGCATATTAAAATTTTGCCAAGTTTATTTTTAGGAAAATGTGTGGCCTAATGGGTTTTTCTCCTCTAATAATTTGCATTGCACATTTTCGGATCCATTCATCAGTTTTTGTTGAACTTTGAATAATCAGTGTCAATTTTTGATAGATATGTATATGGCTGCGACTTTGGGACTGGATAGAATTTTCTTTTATTTTCTGAAATTGGCCTCCTTTCTTCTGGAAGAAAGGGTCGATGATCAGTCCCAAACCCGCTACCAGAACGGACAATATTGACGTTTTCAAGTTACACAATTACAAGTGTGGCGATTTTGATGGCAAACCAGGAAGTCGAAGTGAAGAAACGGAAAAACCGATCGTCAGCGCGCAGGCTGGTTCCCATCATTATTTATGCGACAAAGAGCTCGAAGAGATCTGTTGCGTCCTTCTGGCCGGCCAACAGATAGTCAACTCTTCTGAATGCCAAGGTCGACTATGTTTTTGCTCGATCGTTTTGTAGTCAGATGGTCGACTGCCATCATAGAAGGAAAACAGAATATATTCTTTACTTGTTAATGTTTTGGCTCAATGTTAATTAGTGCTTTTTCACTGTTAATTAGTTAACAATTCTGATGATTTAATTCTTCTTTCAAAGCTTGTTGTGTGGGCGCTACATTTCAACAAATTACGAGTTGTCAAATCTGGAAAGACGACCGGTTTTTTTTTTCGTCGACCAGGATGTAGCGCAAACACAGAAAAGGAATCGTCCGATGTCCGATTGTTAACAAACTAGTTATAAGGTTGTTTTTCCAGCCTCGTTCATTGTACCCGATGGCTAGACTGAGGCCCTATTGTATATCGAAAGGCCATGGAGTGGATGACTTTGCATCGTAATACAGGTTTTTAGGCCTGTTTGCTGTCAATCCGGATTTTCCCTTTGCGGATTCTCCTGCTGTGCGCTTTCCGATCATTGAAACCGGTTTATGCGCTGCTCCAGGCAACTGCAAGTGCAAAGTCAAGGTTTACTTGTGTATTTAACGTTAATTAAATAAATTTATTTTTTGAGCGAATCAAAAGTGTATGAAGAAGCTAAAATGAATTACGGCATTAAGTCAACGAAAAACAGCCTCTTGTGCAGCGTTGTTAGATGTTAGATCAACGTGTTAGATTAACTCACTTCTTGACAAGTGCCAGCATTCGGTGTCCATTAAAAAAGTCACTTTTGGCATCCTCACTTTTGAGGCAACGTCATCATTTGTCACATAATGAATATTTGCATCTTAATTAAAAAACTTAAACTGTTTTAAGTGCTGGAGGTCATAGACCGACCCTGAAATGACAACTGACTAGAATGCTTTTGTTGCCCATCAAAATAAGCAAAACCGATTACAATTGAAGTGGGCAAAACTAGATGGGAAATCAATATCAAGGTTCTTTGCCGGACCGGGTCCACGCCCAATTTTTTTCCGATGTTTGCCAAAAACTGGTCTTGCCATGCGACACTTTTTGTCCTGCTGATAGCGCAAAAAATGGCGTAATCGCAGTGGGGCGACAATCGACCGCCTATAAAAACCCTGCCATTGTTTGCAATAAACTATCATTTGATTCAACCTACATCAAATACCACAATGTTCAAATTCGTAAGTACATCAAAGGGATTTTAAATTTGTGTTAAAAATTTAATTTTTTCAGGTTGCCGTCGTTTTTGCTGCCGCCCTCGCTTTGGCTTCAGCAGGGCCCAATCCCGCCCCTAAACCCGCTACTGTAGCGTACGCCGCCCCTTACGGGTATGCCGCCCCAGTGCCTTACGCTTACGCCGCCCCCTCTGTCTACTCCGGCTATGGCGCACCAGTGGCGTACTCTGCCTATTCCGCCTACTCCGCCCCTGCCCTTTTAGGCTAGGAATCTTCTGTACCAATCTCCCCTAATGTAATTTGACCACTGGCTATGATTTATCGACTTAGTTATTAAATACTTATAATTTCGAATGAGTGTTTTCATTGCAAATACTGCATATAGAACTATAAAAGAATCGCAAGCATCAGCGGGAAACTTGGGGTGTAATTACGTGCGTTTCAAAGACCTTTACACGCAAGCAACCTGAACGAGTTGGCTGAGAGCAAATAAACAACATCCGAGCCCAAGGTGGACTCTTTTCCATCGCACCTCGACCGTATAAAAGCCGCCGGGATTTGTATGCACTTCATCATTTGATTCTTGTACGTCAAATATCCATCACCCACCAAGTTGCAACATGTTCAAGTTCGTAAGTACTGCCTCAGTTTAACGTTAATGGGGGCACTTTGTCCAATGCAAACTCCCTTTCAGGTAGCTGTCGTTTTCGCCGCCATTTTGGCTGTAGCTGTGGCTGCGCCCCAACCAAGCGGACTGCTGACCTACAGCTCGCCCCTGGCCTACAGCTCCCCCTACGCCTACAGCTCATCGTACGCCTACAGCGCCCCCTATGCTTACACCGCGCCCTTAGCGGCCAGCTACCCTGCAGCTCCATTGGCCTACTCTGCCTATTCTGCGCCGCTCATTCTCTAAGGCTGGACGAACGACTGGACTTTCTTGTACTGATTTCAAGTAATGATTAAATACAGCAGTTAGAAGTAGAAATATTGTTTTTTTTTGCAATTTCCGTTGCACGTGTACCTACTGCGAAATGAGGAAAAAACCCTGCCTAATGCCTTTTAGAGTGCGGATTTTCCATTTAATGCCCGCAGCTTTTGCGATTGTTGTATTTTTAGGCGGCACGAGGCTTTCATTTGCCACATGGCACTTCCCAATTAACGGCAATGCTGCTCGATATGGAAAATGGTGTTTTCCATTGTTAATGACTGCTATTTTAAAATGAAAACTGCAAAATCGGGTCATCTAAATCATGCTATTGTCGCATTCTGGAATAGTCAGGAAAAAGGAATTTTCCAGATGATTCGTGGCTGGTTCTGGTAGCAAACAAGTCAAGTTTACTGCAACTGAAACAGACGTAAAGGTTGCCTCCGTTTAGGCCCATGTTAATGATGCAGAGGCACGTGTAAGGAAGCAAATGCCCGTAACAGGAACACTAATTATGACGAATCGCCTGGATTTTAATTGATTTAGGGGGGAAAAAGTCTTGGGAATTTAAAGGGACAAGAATTGTGAACAAAATGTTGCCAGGCCTTAATAAAAAATATGCGCTAAAGTGGCAAAAAATAAAACTGAATGCCCCATGGTCTCTCATCTGAAAGTTTCAAACAAATTAATGCTGAAACTAATTGATCGATTACGAGTGAAAGCACCCTCGTATCACAACTGGCTCAATCCAAGCTGCAATCAAGAGCGAGAGCAACATATCAGAGTCTCTTTGTCGCAAACAGTAATTCAATTCTAGAACAAAAGATGGCTCTGCTAGTTTCATCACACATAGGCAATATGAATGCGAGTACGGAAAATTTCAACACCACTGAAGGTGCAAGGCACTCGACGCAGCGAAACGTTTGGACTAACTTCGTTTTGCACCACGGTCTGAAAGCCCGAAAACACTCATCAGTGTGAAATAATGACCGCGATCATTAAACTACTTTAAAAAATTGTTAAAGAGCCGTGATAAATGAACCCAAAATGCGCAGTTTGGAGCGATTAGTTGTTTTCCATAAAGACTGGTTTAATGTGGTTCGATCGAAATGCGAAATTGGTTGGCTTTTTTCAAAACAAACCTTGTTGTCGTAAAATATGGATTCAGGTCTTCCAATTATAATAAATTAAAATGCTAATCGCCAGAACTATAAAATATTTTTAGCGATGGGATTTTTTGCGGAATCCGGCAGATTTTATGGTCCAATTTAAAGATCATTTTACATATAAAAACACCAAGTGGTTTTCGAAAATCTATCAGTTCCGCTTCGTTTCTAACGCCACCACCACTTCCCGAATTCAACAATGTACAAGCTGGTAAGTACTGGTTACATGTTCACAACATGGAGACTAAAAAAATGTTTTCTTCAACAGTTGGTATTTGTCGCCCTCTTGGTCGCCGCCCTTGCCAGCCCCGCCCCAGCGCCTAAGGCCAACCCACTGGGCCTATCGGCCTTTGCAACCGTCCCCTTGGCCTACAGCCACCCCTACGTGAACTCCTACAGTGTCCCGACCGTCTACAGCGCCCCTCTTTCTTACGCCTCGGTCCCCTATTCTGCACCCTACAGCTATGCAGCCTACCCATATGTTTTGTAATGATTAATTTAACGGCTTTTCATTTCAATGATTAAACATTGTTTGTAACAGTTTATTTGAGTCTTTTTCATCCTGGATCGGATGGGAGTTATAGTTGAGTAGTTGCTTCCTCAAAGAATGGGTGTGCGTAAAACTTTCTCAGGTGCTTCCAGGGCCATTATTACCTACTTTGATACCAATGACAAAAACAAAATATTCCATTGTAAAGACAAATTGGTTTATTTATTAAAGAACTGTTTACAAGAGGAGGGAATACGGAGCGGAATAAGCGGATAGGGCCGGATAGGCGCTGTATGCTAGAGGGGCGGCGGCGTAGGTCAAGGGGGCGCTGTAGGCTGCCGAGTAGGCAACAGGGGCGGCAGCAACATAGGGAGCACTTAGAGCGGCAACAAATTGGGGTGTTGGCTCAGCTTTGGCTTCGGGAGCAGGAGCGGCGGCGGCTAAGGCCAAAACAGCGGCAAATACGCACTGGAAACAGTAAAATAAACAAGATTTTAGCTTCTGAGACTCTACTTTGGCTGCTGCATACTTACAAGTTTGAACATGTTGAGACTGAGAACGAGACTGTTGAATAGTCGGACAACCAACAGGGGTTTTATAGGGAAATAATTGAGTAAGGATGGCACCGGTGCATGTTAAGCGGCAAAGAAGCCTTGAAGGAGTCATTGGTGATGAACTGATTTAAATTGCCACGTTTTTATCGATTGTGCAATGCTCCCAATTAACGATTCCGAGCAGGGAATGTTCAGGCAAAAATGGGTCGATTTACATGGGCCAATACCATCCGAGCCATTATCTTTCCGCGAATATTCTAAACAACCATATTAAACTACTTTAAACTAGTTTAAAGACAGTCCGAATATTTTACTATGCACCGGCATTGATTGACGCAAGCGGCGCTTAAAATTCAAAATATGAGGCCGACCTTAACATTGCGAAGTCCCAAGCCGAAGACGGCGGCCTATAAAAAGCCACGCATCAATCCGATAGACTATCAATTCTTCAAGTGAGATCAACCGCCCAACATGTTCAAACAGGTAAGTTTTGGTTGCAAAAACCCTTTGAAAGTAGCAAATAAGAGTTGATTGAATGTTTCAGATTGTTTTCGTTGCCATCTTGGCTGTAGCCTTCGCTCTGCCCGCTCCTGAGGCCCAACCCGAGCCTAAACCAGCTCCAAAGCCTGGACAGCTTCTCTACAGTTCGCCCCTTGTAGCAACCGCCCCTGTTGCCTACTCTGCAGCCTACAGCGCCCCCTTGACTTACGCCGCTGCCCCTCTCGCCTACAGCGCCTACCCAGCCGTATCTGCCTACTCCTCCCCTTATGTCGCCTCTATTTGGTAATTGTCTTTGTAACAGTTAATCATTAAATAACATTTAGTTAAACTTGAACTTTTTGTCTGCGAGTGGATGAATCTGACCAGTTTCAACACTGATGTGTCTTCTTTGAGCCTAAACGTACGTTAAGAGAGGCCCTAGAATCATCCAGACTTTCCGCGCCTACATAACAGGTAAACATCACATGTCGCTCTAATGCTTTGTTTAGAGCCGCCACACCGCTCACGTGGCGATTTTTGCGCCTCATGCGCGCTCTCCAACTTCCCCAACTTATAAATACGGGCGGAATACGGTGTGCGCTCTTAGTGCGAAGCTGACCTCCCTAGCGACAGTAATTAGTTGAAGCTGAACAGTTCCCAGTGCCGCGTATTTCAACATGTTGATTTTGAGTGTTAGCAGCGACGATTCCCGTCGCCATTCCGGTAATTTGTCTCCATTAACGCCCTCCCCAAGAAGCGAAATGAGGGGCATCCGACTCTTCCGAGCCATTAGCAGAAAGTTGGGGCGCCGATCCCATCAGGGCTTCCGCAGTACGGATGAAAGTAGATCCTCCAGTTCGGATAGTTCGTGTTCGACCTCAATGGGTCACACTTCGAGGATAGAGGACAAAGACCGATCAGTGTCGCCTAATAGCAGTTCCAGCGACTCTGGTAGCGACGTTCAAACGCTGCGCTCTCGACATCATCACTCCACATCGGCGGAAAGCCTGAAGCGAGTGTTCCAGAACCTGAACCTGTACAGTCGCTCGCAGAGCTGCACCAACAGCAAGGAGCTGAAGAAGAAGAAGGAGAAAAAGGTGCCGAAGAGCATCCTGAGACACCCGACCAGTTACACGTATGCGAAGGGGCTCAGCGGCCTGCCAACGCAACGAATCCCCAGAACAAGAGGCTACAGCGCCTGCAGCTGCAGCATGCACTACCTGAGCAACCTCAACCGATAGATCAACCCCCCATTGCAGCCGCCCCTCATTGCAATAATTCCATGATTTTGTCCCCATTCACCTGCTCATTCCCCACATGTTCTGAGGACTTATGATTAATCTCTAGGCGATCAAAGACTGTCTAAGTTAAGAACGTTCAACTGACTGAAGTACGTTGTAAGCTCTCTATCATCACTAACTGTAGGTTTTATAACTTGTTACACCCCTCTAGGCCTAAGAGCTACAAGTCACTGGCCTTTAATGCGTTTGTCCTTTGATTCTGGTGCCTTGTAGACAAAACTTGTTAATAGAAACAGCCAAATGTGACGCATATGTTTTATTTTCCCAGAGTTTTTGACCCCTTGGGATCTTTCTTTGAATGGGCGGACACGCCGTGGGAAGTAAATTCGGGATTATCTGCTATAGTTTACTATTTCGCTCACAACTCAAAAGTGGCTCGTTTTTATGTCTTTTTCTGAGCAAAAGTGAAATATTGAATTAACTTATCAATATGGTTGTAGTACAGTTTTTTAATGCAAAAAACCGGTATTGTCCAGTGTTGTCGACATCCAAAATTGAGTTTTCAGACCGATATTTGATAACCTAGCAAAAATCAGTCTTGTGGACGAATTTCACCACATTTTCAGGATGTTGAGAACCGAGTGTGCTCTACCGGTGGTGGAATGCTCACGTTGATACTTGCTCTAACTTGGAAGACCTAGATATTTAAAGAAAGCAGCGTAGTTGAGTGAAGTCATCCATTTTCAGACCGATATTTACAAAGCTGGAAAAAATTAGATTAAAGGGCGATTTTTGTAAAACTTTCAACAACTGTAGAGTGAGGTCTGGTTTAGAGACCCCGACAATTTCAAGTTACTGGGAAATAATAATTTTTAAAGGAGAAAGCGCAGTGGTCAAAACTCCCAAACTTTCGCATCAATTTTAAATCTATGAGAATAATCGGAATTTTTATAATTCCTCAGAAAATTGTAAAAGCAAACTCGCAAACTTTGGCGGTATTGACTTCCATCTCTCTTTTTGAATTATTTTTCTCCTATCAAGGAATACATGTATTTTTATCCTGCGCATATCCACTACTGGAGCGTTTGTATACATTGCCAAACGACGTTTCAATAAAAGGCGGACCCTAGACAAGGAAAGGCATACTCTCTTGTATGAGGAAAGGAACGACTAATAATCTTTCATATGCAAACGAAGGGGTTGACCCGCAAGTTTAGCTTAGCAACCGGCTCCTATACGTGTTTGTATCGCGACTGCGCACTGTCACATTGACGTGACAGTGACGTGAAAATGGTGGTTTTTCGAAAGCCCTGCTTTTGAAATAACTTTTTAATCGCAATATCAACCGGAATTATCCAAATCTATTCACGCGTAAGTAACGGCTTTCTTTCACTGTAAAATAACTGTTTTCGTATTAGTGTCATTGAAGTATTTAAGGCAATTTTTGCGCCCCATAGAGAATATTTGACATTATTTGAGGAGAAAAAAACCGGATTAATTTTGTGCTAAACGACGTTGTCTGAGCGGCGTGTTTATAAAAGCCGCAAGGATTTTGTGGCGCAAAAAATCGGACTTTTGTAGGCGCAATATTTGCCTCATGTCTATTTATACATTCGGAACAACAAATCCCCGCAGAAAACATATTTGGGCTGGTCAAATTAATTCAGCCGACTGGTTTGCTTTCGTCATTGCCAATTTGGCATTAAGTCCAACTTGTGTTAAACGGTGTTAAAGAAAACTGCGCTCATGTTTCAACAAGCCGGAAAACTGGTTGTGGACAACATCGACCGTGCGCATACTGGTAGGTATAGACAAAATTCCTCACTTTTTACGATGAAAATAGTGTTTCATTTGAGCTTGAGTAAGTGAATGGGTGGAAAATTGTCAGATAATCTCTTCTGTTGCTGTAGCAAAACAATTAAAAACAACATTAAATTGTGTGTCATACTCAGGCAAATTGTGCACACTCCCCAGTAGATGGTTTAAGGCACCTGATTGCGTTTTGCAGAAAAAAAGCGGCTGCAACCGCAGTTCTTCATGGCGGTGATAGTAGGAGATTTGCAGGAAATCGACCGCCTAATCGAGCTGGGCGTGGATCCCAACGCTGTAGGCGACGAAGGTTTGACTGCTGTCCAACTATGCACCGAACAAGCTCATCTGCTGGTGCTCAAGCATCTGTTGAGACACAGAAACGTCAACTGCAACCCACACGGAAAAGAGCTCAATGGCGACAGCCCCCTGATGGCGGCGGTTGCTCTGAACCGAAACCCCTTTGTAGACCTCTTGCTCCAACATGGCGCCGACCCCAACATAACTAATAACTTTGGTGGGTTCGTTGCTCAGAACTGTCAGAATGACTTTAGAATTCGCCTTAACAAGGTCGAACGCCACTACATGAGGCTGTCACCAAACAAAACATTGAAATGGTTGGCCAGTTGCTGTTCGCCAAGGCCAATCCGAATGTGGAGGATGTGTTTGGGAACACGCCCCTATCATGGAGCCTCATTGAGTACCCTTGCCGGGAGATGGCAATCCTGTTGCTCAAATGGGGAGCCAATCCGAACCAGCACATCGTCCGGCCACAGCCCCTATTGACAGGTGGAACTCACGCCACCTGGTGTTACTCTACGCGTGTCACTGCTTGTATTGTAGAGCTGACTTTAAACTGTCACTCTGCAGAGGCTTTGGGGATGGTAGAGCTGCTGGCCGCCCATAAAGCTGATATGAACGTGGTGAACTCGATTTCGGGTCAGTCGGCGCTCCATATGGTCTCTATAACGGGGTACCTGCCTCTGGCTGAGCTTCTTTTGAATTTGGGCGCCGCTCAGAGTTTGAAGGACCGTTCTGGGCGCACTCCTCTTGATTTGGCGATCCAACACGGACAAGCAGGTGCGTTACGATTGTCTCTACATACGCGAAACAAGCGAACGCGTTTTAGATCTCGTGGCCTTCTACAAGGAGCGCAACAGTTTGCTGAAGGATGCCATGGGTAGCACCTGTTTGGTTACTGATCGGAAGTCATCAGAAGCAGCAGTGGCAGGGAGAAAGCCGCGTAATGTGCGCTTTTCCAAACACCACGCCACTGAGTCTGAGGATTAGTAGCTTTTCCACCATTTTTAGACCTGATTGGGTAACAGCTTAACGATTTCTTTTGTATGCTAGCGCGCATCTTCCTATTAATAGCCCATTGGAAATAAATTTATCCAGATGCTTTGTTCGCTTGGTTATTTCCGGACCGGCGGTCGGGTGTTGCACATTTTCCTCATCGTGACTCCTCTTCACCATCCCTGAGGAAAAAATGCTAAACCTTGCCAAGGAGGGAGTGAAACGGAAACCAAGCAGACAAAAACTTCCTCCAACTCAAACTGTTTCAACAAAAGTTGAAAAGTTGTGCAAATTGAATGTCGGTCGCTGTGTTTGCTTGTTGTTTGACGTCCATCGCTCGACATTTTTCACATCCCAGAAAACATTGAACAAATAACTAATATTAACCCGCGCTAATTTTGGAAAGCAACAGGCCCTGGTAAACAGTCCACCATTCTTCGGGAACAAACGCCGCTAAATTAATAGACATTAAACGCGTCAGAGCTGCTTTGTCGGAACGGTGTCAATTAAAGCGGCAAAGTGAGGGCTTGATCTGATCCAGTAAAGTACTTTTGGGTTGTTTATCTTTTTCAAAGTTTTAGAAATGATTCACAGGCTTTGGCTAAAAGGTGGCACAAAACGGTTAAGTTGCGTCAATGCAAGTCAAATATATTGTCGGATCTGAAGGAGGTTCTTGAACGAGAAATAAAACATCCAAGATTTACAAACGTGACGTAAATCTGAATGCAACACTGCTCGTTGAGCCGGTTGAATCGACCGTTCGAGAGGAGGCAAGAACCTCAAACGGGAACAATCGCTACGCATTTGAGGCCTCAAACCGGGTCAGGCTGGGCTCAAACTCCTCAATGAACACCCTGCATTGCACAAACTGTACAAGGTGGTTCACGGTCGATGGCGTGGACAATGCAATCCACAATCATTTTCAACATTGCAGAGTTTAATGCTTGTGTTAAGCGACCTTTACTTACTTTGAAAGTATCCGAAAAAAATTTATTCGGTTTTTTGTATTTAACGAATAATCAAAACTCCAATTTATTGGCCAAGCTGTTCCCTTTCTTGGACGTCTTCGTTTCGTAATTTTGCGCTCGACAGCTTCGTAAAGCAATACATTCTGATTATAATCTGCCACACTTCTCAAAAATACTCTTTCTGCCTTCTTCACAGCAATTTTTTGGTCATGCAGTCCCACAACGGCAATCTTTGTTTTGACCAATTTTTGCAGGTACAATATTTCCGGTTTGAGCACCTACAACATATTTTCCTAAATTCCCTTTAATTTTTCGCACTTTTGGATGTATGATTCCTCAATTTTTTCTCCATTGTTGTTCGTATGTTCGTCCCCTTTAGCTTCTTATTACATTTTTTTAAATCATTTGCTTGCTTAAAAGCAAATTTCGCTTTTTTATTTTTTAACACCCCTGTAAGTATCTAATGTACCATCAACCGTGAATCATCCTGTACATAACCGAGTTTCAACTGCCACATATTTAGGCCAATAAGGCGCATAATTGATGCTCATACCAAAAGCATCGAACATGAAAGATGGGCCTCGGAAGTGAATGAAACGAAATCCGGTTTTCTAGGCCACTAGGTCAGCGACAGAGCCTCAATGGTTTGACGTCATCACCAGCTTGACCAATCAGCAAATGGCAAAATAGTCTGTTTAATTGCGAAGAATCGTTGATGCTACAGGGAGAAGCAGAGTTTAGAGAGTCTTTATTGGAAATGCACTAAAGGTCAGAGGAGGTGCGGACTAGACTCAAACGTTGAGTGGGTTTTATTATTGGAAGTGAAACGAAGGAGGCCCGGACTGGCGACGGATTTTCAGCAGCCTCCTAACGCTGTCAGGAAGTTGTCAACCTTATGACGTTAAGGAGATCTGTCAAGCTCGAAACGTGAAATCTTCCTAAAAGCGATGGATTTTGGCTGAGACGATCGGTAGTTGTTTTCCGTAGTCTCAAGCCCACTCCGGCTCTGGCTCAAAATCAAACTCTCCAAGAGATTTGCGTCAAAGGTGGCAAGTGCCGGAAACACGTTGCTCTATTGCACGTGACTTTTGAGGTCGACCAGCTTAATGAAACGTTCTGACAATAACAATGCAAATGAACCCACAGTAGAAGCTTCCAGAAATTCTGGTTATTTGCTTGTCATTTCGACGTTTACCTGCCAAAATTTCACTTGGATGCGTCAATTTTAAGTCAATGGGACGTCAGTTTAATTGTTGCTATCGAGCGAAAAGATCGGCGGCTGATTGAAGCAAACCGAATTATCCGGCTGGTCGTTTATCATCCCCAGGAAAGCTATTTTTAGACACACCCTTTACTGCATCCAGGTCGTCGACCCATCGGGGCGCAGTCCGATGGCCCAATTTTCAGCAGGGAGTGACCCGCTTTTCCCAACATTGAGCCTGCATGTGTGACGTCACTGCCGAAAGTCTACGTCATTGCAGTGTCTATGGAAACGCGACTGGAATATGCCCCAAAAGCATCCCATGGTATTATCAATTTTTTCCAGAGCTTTGAGGCTTAATTCCGTGCTCATTTGTTCCATCGAATGGCTCTTCTCCGGTTGTCGCAAAGCCAACGTCTTCGAGGAGGAGTGTTTTTTCTCCCAACCTACTCATAAATTTGCCCTTTTATTAGCCGGGGCTGATGAACTGCACGGGCGCGGTAATTTTCTCTTAATCAGACTGGCGAATGTTTTCGCACATTTTCTTTATGCCCGTTCGTTTCTCAGGTAGTCGGGGGTCAAATCAAGCAAGCGAATGCACAATATTCGAAACGATTGACATCTGATAATCGAAAACATTAATATAGAGGCAAATCATTCATTCATAAACCCCCTTTTGGGATCAACAACATCATTGAGAGCGATTAATCGAGCCCAACTTTGCCCCCGCTATTTTATCACAGTAATTAAACTAAATCTTTCTTGAAACGGTGATAAAAAACGACGAAAACTGTCCCAAATTACGGAACTCATTCCAAACAAGCATTTCACCACATTCTGGCAAAATTCGTGCAAAGCGAATCCTTGTCACCGAAAGTAACAAAATAAACTCAAATTACAAAGTCAGTTTCTTAAAGATAATCATAATGGGGACATAAACAGCAAACATCCCATAAAATGCTGAAAATTGATCGATTGGAAGAGGAGGAGCGATGGCTGCGCCACTGCGATTACCTGACCTAAACCATCGGGACTTTTTGCCTCTTTGACCTTCAACGGGGCAAAATATGGCAAAAATGGCAAAAAAGTCACCCAAGGAAATGGGTAACTCCCAGTTTCGTTCGTAAAAATGTGTTGGTCCTCCATCCAGCCAAAATTTCAAGACCACTTGATTGAATCTTTATACAGAACGTTGACAAATTGGCTCTTGAGTGAAACAAGGCGAAAATAAAATCGGCTCGAACGATTGAAATATTCGCCCCCAGCGGGCAACAAACAACATAATAACAGTGTTACTGACCTATGGAACAAGTCCTTACTTATTACACTTAATGAGTATAATCGGCATGTTTTTCCCTCCAGCCGTATAGACATAAACATAATTAGCTGATTATAGTCGCTGTATTCAAAGCAACCAAAATAAAGTGTTGCACCCGTTCGGGAGGAAAAACATCGCAATCACTAATAATTCCATTGGAAAACCATCCTGCAGTTGAAGGATCCACTAATGCATCGGCAGAACCTGCTGATCGACAGCAGGACGACGGAAAACGTGATTCGCTCTCGAGGAAAAATCCCAAATAATTCCATTTTTCTCCATTTGAAGCAACAGGAAACAACTGAATTTTCAAAGGGTTGATAGTTGAAAAGCGTGCTGCGAACGCAAACAATTAAAAGCGAACCTTTAATTGCTCGTATTAGGCAGGATTCACCCCCGTGCCATTCAGCGCGTGAAATAATCAAGAAAATATTTGTTTAGTGTTATATATTTGGCTATTTCCAAAGCTCGATGCATAAAAAAGCAGTCTTTTGTGGGGGAAATTGCACATTTTCTGTTCAATGCACCGGGCTCTGTATGTATCAAATCGAATTTGCTGAAAAATCCGTTTATGTAAGGAGAAAAACGTGTTTAGATACGCCGCACCTTGTCGGGGGCGACTCAAAATTGGCAATATACTTGGCCTGGGTTCAAGAGGTTCACGCTTTAAATGTAAATTTCAAAAACAAGCCTAAATTTAGTTGGCTTAATCTTGCGGGACTTTATTGATTGGGAGAGCGTCTGTTGATTCGCCGGAATGTTCCAATTTTGGCCTAATTTTAGTCGGTTTCCGAGTCGATTTGGATAAATCTGGATAGGTGGTGGGTGTAAACGTAGGTCACATCGCCCTAAATGGCCAAATTTATAAACTGATAAAAATCACAATTCTGGACCATGTTCATGGAACTTTTTCCACCTTTAACCCTTAACCACCGTAAAACTCAGCTGACATACAAAAATAAGACATGGGGAAAATTTCAAACTGCTCCTTCACCGGTGGAAAATCAGCGCAAGAAAAATTCAATTTTGTTCATTCCAGCACCATCTAGGATGTATCAGACAAACTAGTCTGCGCTATAGTAGGTAACTGCAGCCTCAGTTTAGACAGTGTCTCCTAACGTGCCACTAGCGGCGGCACAGATTATTGCGAGTATCCTCTCAGTTCCTTGCCCCGGTGAACGGCGCGCAATTTGAAAATTTACATTTAGCATCGTATTTTTGTAAGGAGCATTTTTAAATAAATCGCATTAGTATTGGTAAAGTCCGTACCAATTTCTCTTGTTGAACCTGAACTCCTCTGACTCCAATACAGTTATTACTCCTTTAAATAAATGACTGCCGTATTGAAAAAAAAAAATTCTGATTCCGTCTTCTGCCGCGGTTTCCTTCATCCATAACGCGCATTTTTCCATTCGAAAATAAATGTCTGGGTATTTTCAATAAATTCAAACAAGCAGTAGAAGGTAAAATATATCTTCAAGCTGTCAACTGCCATGTAAAACAAATTTTGTCCGTGGTCCACGATAAAAATCTCAATTTACGACAATATTAGGGAACCAATTTGAGTTCACACATCATCACAATTTTTGTGGATTTTGTTACATTAGTTGAGGACCACCCGGTATCAGTTATGATAGATTTAGAAATTTGATAGGTCAACTACCGATGGTTGCGCTGCGAAACGTCAAATTACTAGTTGTCGAGTGACAGTTGAGACTTGTTTATTTATTGGGGTTGCTGACATATATGTCAGTTCAAATAAAACAATACTTGACAAAACACTTTTCGGTCTGTTTCTATTTCTTTAAAATCTTGCAATAGTTGACTAGAAGGAACCAAAACAAATCACAAACACCAATGTGACGCCAATGTCAACAAAACAAATGTCAAATTACTAGTTAACGTATAGTTATAATCTTAGCCACCAGGGGCGTTTGGACTTTTAAACTTGCGTATAAGGGATCATAAGGGTTGCCTATACGCAACTCATATGACCATTTAACGCCAAAATCGTGTTCGTTTCCACGTTATTTCAAAAATTAAACTACATAAAGCTCCAAATACACCCATTGCTAATAGAAAATACGGCAGGAACAAGTCGTTAATTCCTACGGAAATGATCCTTGCACTGGAGAGACACTCAGGTTTGCTGACCACCCATGTTTTGTGCAGTTTTCGTATTATTCCACTTTGCCACATTTTCCTTAGGCTGCAAGCAAAATTCAAATTGCCTGTGTTAAAAAAGTTAAGACACTCACCTAACTTGGAATAGTTTTTTGTATTGGCTCTTTTTCTGAGCCATCAGCGAGGTGTCGCTATTGATCAGAATGATCTCCGCCAGATTGCATACGGACTCTTGTTCAAACGTGTCAGCTATCAAAGGATAGGCGGTAATAGATTCGGTATGAAATGCAAAATCGCCCTGATGCACCAATCGGATTCCTTGTTCGGCAGTAAAAATGTTCGGGGTGTTGCGATAGAAGATCTTTGATTGATTCAACTGGTTGAGATAGTGATCCTCCTTAACTACAGATGCATAACGACTCAATGGAATTGAAGATGAATTTATTGAGGCTGTCGAAGCTCACCTCTGTCCAACATGTAGGTGATCGTGTATGGCTGCAATTCGATGCCAACTTTCAGGTTGCTTTCCAGTAGTTCTTTTATGGTTTTCATAACTTCCGGTTCAGTACTGATCAGCGAGGATACTAAGCTCGACGTGTAGTAGTTGTAAAGCAGTACTGAACAGATGAGAAGGTGCAGGAGTATAATCCGGGTCGATATGCTACTGGGAATCGTTCCCAAGCCTGAAATCAAATCCTCTTCCATATGGATGGTTAAAGTGGGGTATCAATAAGTACCCTGTTGGGAAAACACGGCAACAACGACAAACAGGGAGCGGAAGCTACAGCTAGAGTTTTGCAAGTCGCCGCCTCTATGACGGGTTTCCACAAAATGAGCAATTTCAATGCATATGCACACTATTCCGGTTACGTAGAGAGTGACGATCCAGGATTGTTTGTCAAACGGCTTTAATGCTTCGTAGAAGTTCGGCTTTACGACTCCGGGATTGCGAAAAAAAAAGCAGGACCTAAACGATTTTTGATGCCGTAAATGAACGATGTCTGTTCGAAATTGGGACCACCAGTACCTGAACTTGTAATACGGCATTATGTAGTCATAGAAGTCTATTCGGTCCGAGTCCAAAAGCCTCAAAATGCAACCAGCGCTACTGATGTCGATCGTATCGTCCCATAACATTTTCGCCAACCCACCGTCTTCACCACTCGAAGTGTTGCCGAACCAAGAAAATGGTAAACTTGTGTTGTACCTGTAGTTAGAGCTCAGTTGAAACCAGTTCAAAGCTGAGTCATTACAGTTTATTGATTAAATTAAAACTCACTCAAATCCGTGGATATGAACTAAGCCCTGGAACAACTGATAGTGAAACTTGCTGTAAATATCATATTTCATTAGCTTTGGATCAGTCATGTATTCGTCGAAGGATGTGGTGAAGGGATATCGAATCTGCAATGAATGCTTAAGTTGAGTAGAATTTGAAATAAACCAAGGACGGATTTACCACATTAGCCGAACGGATCAAGACGCCAGTCATATTCATCCGGGATTCATAGTACGACCAGTTTTTATCGATAATAACTGAACCGTTTTGCAGTTTTCCAATTCTCCTATAGAATCCAGTTCGATTAGACTTTGAAAGGCGTGTTTCGGGCGCTAAATGGATGAAAGTGAAATGGGGATGCGGTTTAACGGTTGATAACGAGTTTTTGCGATTTGTCGATAATAACAAAATCTTAAACTGTTGTATTCAACACTTTTTGACAAAACCTCAAATTAACGGTCCAAATGGTAAGAAACCAATTTTTAAGAATTTTTTTTCTCCCCCAAAAATAATTTAAGTTATAAAGGAAATCTGCAAAATTATGTCTTTTTTGGTGTTGAATAAGCACGATTTTTTTCGTATATAATAATATAAAAGAAAATAAATAATAACAAGTCTAGACCTGGAATTGCACTATTTATACCAGTTTTGGCGGTCTTGGGGTCGTTTTATCTGGTCTACTTCAGCCCGTTACGTCTAGATTTCGTGTTTTTTAATTTTCACTGTCAATTAGTGCGTTTTAAACTTAATTTTTACGTTATCTTACTACTATCAAAGTTGTTTTTGAGCAATAATTCACTTAAAACCTGTCAAAATTAAAATAGGACATTTTACAATGAAATTGTCAAAGTGACGTCGTCAACTATACTTTGCAAGTTGTAATTGTCAAAATTTAGACATTTAAAATGAAAAAAAATATATATTAAAACACTCGCTTCCTTCGCCACTTTGGAAAAAGTTTTTAAATCCTTTTCCAGCTTCGAATTTGGGACAAAAATCAAATAATTTATTACTAAAAAACGGGAAGAATAAGCAAAAGTTTGTAATAAATTATTTGGAAAACTTGTCAGTCCCATCCCTTTGCAGACTGTAAGTGGTAAAAAACTGTGGTTTTTAATTTTGACTGGATTTTTTTTTGCTTTACTTTCTACTCAAAAAACGCTATATTTTGTAGCGTTTTACTTAAAAATACTGATAATATAAAGGTCATTTACGCGAAAAATGACAAACTACATTTTCTAGCTTTGTAAGAATTTTACGAAAACTTGTTTCAGCGTCGCACTCGGGACAAAAACGAAAATAATTTTTTTCCGTATTTTCCCGAAAATCATTAAGGTTTTCTCAAGAAACGATCACAAAAGTAAATGTTTTTAATCAAAAGCGAAAAAAACCGTTATTTTCTGATGCTTTTCTTCTTTTGTGGAAATCATGGAGTCTTTCTAGCCAAAAATGATAAAATTAATTTTGTTAGATGATTCGCTTCATTCACCGCTTTACAGCGAATTTTACAAAATCTTTTTCAGCTTCGAATGTGCCAAAAAACCAAATAAATGAATTTAATTTTTACCGAAAGAAATAAACATTTTATTGAAAAAACTACCAGAGTAAAAGCGTCCAAAAAAATTATTGGAAGATTTGCCGCCTTCATCGCTCTGAAGGTAAAAAAATCTTTACAATTTGAGGTCCATCCACTTTTCTTTCTACGCTAAAACGCTTTATTTTCTAAAGTTCTACTGAAAGTATTGAAAATGTTCAAGTATTTACCTCCCTGACCGCCTTGTAAAAATTGTTCAAAACACTTTTGCAGCTTTTTTGGACAAAACCATAATAATTTCTCCTGGTTTTTTTCCAAAAGTAGTTTCCCGAATAGAACAAGCGAAAGTTTATACTCCATTATTTGGAAAACTGTTCACCTTCGTCGCTGTGAATACTTAGGTTTTTTTTTTCAATTCCGAACTTTTGGTCAATATTTTTAAGCAAACTCTTTTTCTAAACAGAAAAACGCTATTTTTCGAACAGCAAAATATTAACAAACCGAAAGTCTCCCAAACAAAAAAAATTAAGAGATCAATTTTACAAAAAAACTTGTCGTCTTTATAGCTTTAGATGTCATAAGATAAAGTCAGAAGATAAACAGTCTTGTTTGTCTTCTTGTGGCATCTTTTTCTAATACACGTTTTATCTTTGAATTTGGGACAAAATCGAAACTAAATTCTCTTGTTTTTTTGTTCAAAAATATTAAAGTTTGCCCAAAAAAAGATCAATAATAGCAAAAACGTACATATAATCAACTATCTGGAAAACTCGTCACCCTCACCGCTCTGAAGAGTTTTTAAGTTTGTTCAAAATTTCCGGTTTTTCCGGTATTAGACCAAAAAAATAACGTACTTTCAAGCAATCGTTTCTACAGAAAAAGAAGGTCAGTGAATTTTGAGTTGGCGCAGTGCTTCCCAAATTCAATGCACACAATGCAGTAGCTTAGTTGCTGGGAAAAAAAACTTTGTTTTTGCTTTTAATTGTTAAAATTCTAATCTCGGGTCTCGTAAAGCTTTAATCCCTTTTAATAAATTACTTATAACTTATTAACTCAAAAGCGCAACTCAACACAGTGTCACCCAGATCAACTTTCACTTTATTCTTCTGCAAGCAGAATTTTCATTCTCTTACTTTCTTCATCGACAGTTAATTTGAGATTTTGTCGAAAAATGTTGAAAACGAAAATTTTTGATTTTCTTTATTATCAACAACTCTGCCATTGAACGTTTTCAGTTAGTAGGTCACGTTTGGCCGCTAATCTCAAAAACACGATTTAAATCCCTAAATTGCATCTCCATGTCGCCATTTCCAGCGTTAATTTCTGTAATTAATAAAGTTGAAGTTCAAAAACCTCTCACTATGAAATTTTCTGAAGTTTGAAAATTGATAAAAAAATTGAAAATAATTTACTCTTTAACTTATAACATTAAAATTCCTGATTGTCAACTTATGTTGAAACTGTTTATGTTTAAACAGTTTACCCGTCAGTAATCAAGTTTTCCTTTATTGTGCGTTCTAGTAAAACTCTTTAAGAGTAAAATGGACCCCCAGAGTATCTCCGACGTCTCAACAAAACTGTAGAATCTGTAGAACCGTTTTGTACATAACAAATAGGAATGAACAAAAATATATGAATATTTTAAGCTAAAATTTATACCACTTAAAAGGGCACTAAGATCTTCAAAAAAAGTTTTAGTACGATTTTTTAGAGGCAAAACCAAATTAATCATAAAAAAAACGAAAAAATCAGTAGTTTTTTGTTGGGCGGATTTTAATTTAGTTTGACTCATTTTGTAGGAATTTTTAATACTTGGACAAAGTAATAAACTTTTTATCAATGGCAGCAGCGTTGAAAAGTAATGGGCAAAAAACTAGCACTCTCTTTGACTATTTAAACAATGTCCTTTGTCCCGATATTCGGGCATTCTTACGCACAACTTCCCACAATCTTTCACCTTAATCCATTTAGTGCCTGGAAAAAATCTAATCCGACTGGACTGACAAAATATGCTGCATTGTTACCTTGTCGTTAAACCCACGTTAATACCGGGATTAAATATTTCAGATACTTCGAAACGGCCGAAATCATCAACGGCTAAAACTTTGACATCCATGTCCATTCTAGTTTTAAACCTTGTGAAAATGTGGAAAATGTCTTCCAACTCCTGGTTGACTTTCGATAGCAGATACCAGCTGTAGGTGAACTCGAATTTTCCAAAGCGGTTCACATTAGAAGCCTGAAATCGAGTATTTCCGATCAGACATCTTGCAACAACGAAATCAAGAGCTAATTTACCTTATCGAGAATATCCGCAGAATCCGGGCATTGCATATCCAAAAAATAAGTGAATTTTTCATATCTCTTCGTATTGATATTTTCGAATGCATCGACTCGCGCTTTTGCGAAAACCACTCGCATGTTGAGATTCTCTTCCAGTATCGCTTTGTGCAACCTAACTTTATCTAGAAATGCACGTCGTCTAGAGTAAATCACATTTCGGATAGACTTCGCTGCAGGATTAATTGAATTTGGTAAAATCTACCTGGACATTTCCAGCAGGTAAAAATCACGGCCAAACTTGGCCGGTAAAATCGTAAGCAGCTTAAAACGGCTGCCGTATGGGTCTCAAACTGGCATGGTCGTGACAGAAGGAATAGCAGCAGGAAGATTAGTTGCAACATGTTGGTCGACCGACTGATGGCAATGGAAAATCTAAGTCTCCACGCGAAATATCCGGAGTCGAATTCGACGTTTCAATTTCCAGATGGACACCATTCAACCCCTTTTACTTTATCAGTTCAAAACTGAACTAAATAGCTGTTGTTTTACGCATTTTTCAACGTGCTTTAGATTGGAATCGGAGACAAGCGGCCCATTAAGGGTGAACTTAACACATTTGATTTGTCACGCCATATAAAATTGGTCTCGTTAAAACTGGGTAGAAACGTAAAAAATATGCACAAATCCTTCAATTGTAATTGCACTACCCTAGTTGGTCTGAACTAGTTTTGTGAAACCTTTGCAGCAAAATTGGTCATAAGACCCGAATAAACACAATTTTAATACTGAGCACTGCTCCCAAGTAGTCCTATTGAAAACCATAAAAGAATATTAAATTTCTTGTCAGAGTTTAAAACTCACGGTATTATTTTTGCATTGTCTCCCTGAAGTTTCAAAGCTTTGTAGATTTAATGGGATTTCTTAAACAAAGCAACTTTCTTATCAAATCCTATAAACCGAACAGGAAGGGTAAATAAAACATGGAATTTTCACTCAAGTAAAAAAATCACTTTTAAAGTGCAATTGATTTGAAATTGCTTTTGTTGGCCGATAGAAAAGCGCCGTTGAAGAGCTGGTGTCTACCTGATGTGGGTTTGATTTGAATTCATTTCCAGTTTTTAAAAATACTTAAAGGAAATATTTTAACACCAATAAATAATATTATTGGCCCGCGCCTTTTGTCGTAAACCTTGAATTTGGTACAAATCAAAATTTATGGGTAATCTTTTATATGGATTTCGCAATCGTTTTATTTCCTGCGGAACTTTTAGACAAAATACCACTTGGAAACCGAATAGAGCTGATTGAGATATCGCCTCAGCGCGCTGAGTATTTTCCGAGCTTAGATAACTCAATACAGTTGCCATTGAACTATTTCACTTTAAACGCTAAATCATTTTCATTTGACTAGGAAAAAAGTGCCTGGAAAAAGCAGTCATCAATTCGATGAGTTTGGGACAGTTGGGCTTATTTCGACCCAATGAAACGCCATTAGTATAAATCATTACTTCGTTGCTCGTCCTTTCCCCACAAATGATAAAAAATCACCCCTCACGTTCTATTAAAACTTTATAATTTATCGTTGTCAAGGCTGAAGCTGCCGGGGAAAAAAACAAAGTTAAGCAATATAAATTATGGATCAACGAAATATCTCTTTTGTTAGGGTCGCCCTTTTCTGCGGGATACGAAGACAGTACTTGTTTGATCCAAAAATCGACAGTTTTCATCAGAGCGGCAGCTAATTAATGTTAAAAAATCGTTGCTTTGTGTTTAACAGAATAATCGAAACACCCGTTTTTCATTCATTCCGTCGGGGAATTATTTATTTTTGTCATCTAAACACCTAGTTTGAGCTCACTTAATAAATATATTCGGACAGTTGATTTGTTCTGTTGTTTCTGACCTCAACTAAAACCAACAAAAGCAACCGAATATTCATAGTTCACGGAAAACTTATCTAAGTTTCCGAAAGTTTTCACTTCCCGCCCGAAGCTTTTGTTAATTGCCTTAGTTGAAATTACTTTAAATAATTTGGAGGCGATTTTATCGAAAAATAAAAGTTGTTTTCTTTATGCAGCGTAACTGAGCAAATGCAGGAAAATTCTAATCTTCAGTTAGCTTCTGATCTCAATAAGAGCAACCAATGGAGACAAGCTTAACATATTTAATTTACTCAAAGTGGTAATATTTCGGCATGGCAGCAAAATTGCCTGCCGAACGATGCCTGAGAGCAGGAAGGACTAATTATAAATTAGGCATCTGGAGGATCATTATCGAGAATTTGTTGAAATAATCTTGACTAATTGTATTGGAATACCGAAGAGCTAATTGGCTTTTGTTACCGAAATTAAATCGTTGCCACTAAGATGCCACTAAGTGTTTTATAGGTGTTGGTTTGTAAAAGGGACATTTATCACTTAATAAAGTCCGCATCCTGGAGTGCAGAACTTTGCGTACATATATTGAATACATTTGTTGTACTTATACAGGGTGATTCAAAATTGGCGTCATTCCTCTGGAGGTGTTGTCTGGCGCTGTTATAGGAGTACAGAAAAAATAGTAAAAGAAATTAATTGTTATTAAAAACTGAGAAATTTGCAAAAACTATATCAGAGATACGGCAGCAATGTTTTTCAAGGTAATCTGTCTAATTAACATTGCGCAAATACCTGTTGCTCCGTAATTATTTGAAACTCCTGTAACCATGGAATTATACAGTGACAATAAGATAGACAAGGATAAACGGTCAACTCAACAGGAATCGTTGAATGACGGAACGTACTTTCGAAATGTCAACCTGTTCTCATAACCACGAATTCTGCGGGGTTTGGTGTTTACATAAATAATCCATACAACACCAAACATTTGAATGGTTAACTCCAAACAAGCTAGTGCCTGGGTAATCATCTCATTATCCACCTTATCAAGCAGCTTCTCGTATTCAGTTAATTAACTCCTGCTCCATTTGTATGTATCTCCTTGTGATGTGTGTATCGGACAAACGTGGTAGGAATGTAGCCCTTCCTCGGTATTTATTTGGTGCTCGGGAAAGTGTCAGTTATTGTGCTCTGAGTACCCCTGGAAGGCCCTGATTCGATTATGTCCAATACTTGTTCCTCTGTGCCTGGAACCCGAACATCKATTGYCGTCCATTATCTTCCTGAAACCACTCTCCTCGCCTTTTGTTGGCGTGAGTTCTTTCAGCTTCTGYTATRTTACTGTAGCATTTCCCCTGAACTAATCGCATATTCGCAAATTCGTGAAAGGAAATTCAAAGCAAGTCACAGTTTGACAAATGTATTGTTATTATTGACCAGGGCTATCCACCTGTAACTATCTGTTAATGACAAAAAACATTATTGCTGCTGTGCTTTTTCATCAAAAAATGGTAGAAGGGAACTTTTTTGATATAAAAATTTTTCGTAATTTGAGGCAAAGATCGTAATTTCTCTTTTTGAATGCTTAAGTATTCCCATATGCCACCAATTAAACATGGAACAATTGCAAAATTATGCTTAATAACAAAGTTGAAATTCGATCTTTAACTGTTAATATCTTGTAGAAATAAAACAAAAATTCAAAATTTTTCTCGTACTCCCCAAGGGAGCCTCTATCACCCCTTAAAAGGAATGAAGCCAATTTTGAATCATCCTGTATAAGTTTAGTGAGAAATATGAAGGAGTCATTAGATAATGAAAACAATTACTTACCTCAATTTCCTAAATGGTCTGATAATGATTTAACTGACTGATAAAGGTGGCACTCTGATATTAATCAACTCATTTTACTACTAACGTGAGAAGTCCAATATTACTTTATTATACTCTATTTCCCTAGCGAGGAGGCGTATTTATCTCCCTAGGTCAATAATACTAATAAAAAAGTATCTAGGTAAATAACGAAATATGTAAGTCTCAGATTTGATCCATTTCCACTTCTAAATCACTGTAACTATGATTCACAAATTTTTGGCATTTTTCGCTACTTTCGATTTTCATAATTTAATAAGATACGATTGACATGTTTATGTTTTTCAATTTAAAACCGCATTTCCTAAAAGGGAAATGTTACTATTTCACGTTCGCTTGCGTCAATTCCAACGTGTTCCACAATGCCAAAGAAGTTTCTCAAGACCTCCGACCAAGTCGGGGTCTGTATTCACCCACAAATCCGCACACTGTTAACCCCCGTCAAGAGACAGCAAAGTTTCCGAAGTATATGAAAGGTATCTTTTTATACCTGCCAAAACTTTCGTTCCTTTCGTGAAGACTTCCAGTAAATGCCGTTATTTACCTTATCGAAAAAGTTTTGTTATACTTTTTTCAGAAGTGGACACCCTTCATGTTCTGTTAGTTGTTCTCATTGATTTGATGCAATAACCAGTTTAAGCTTGAAAAATATCTGAATTCTAAATACTGCCTTGCATGTGTTGGCTTCATTAACTTTCCCAGATGGGTTGGCTACACTTTCCTATCCTGAGCGGCTGCTCGAGAATTAAATAAGCTCTGACTAATAACTTGCCAGATATTCTTGCCGGCACCGTTTTCTATCCTGAAGAGGCAAAACTCGAGTTGGAGAAGCGTGTTCCGTTTCAAATTCAATTAGAACGCGCTACTGCGTGTTTTCAACTGAACTTAATTTCTGCGACTAATTAAAATGTAAAATGTTCTTGTTTCGTGCCTATTTCCATATGCATCGACGCATCATTTGAATGGATTATAATTAAACATGTGCTCACTGGGTTTTTCCGATTATAATTCCCGTTAAACGACAATCCACCATCTTAGGGCAAATTTCCTTTCAGTCGACTCACGAAAACTTGTTAAAATAACGGAAATTACGTCTGAAGGGCAATTTATTAAGCGTTTATTTTTCAGACGTTTCTCGATTTTATTCTGCAGCTGGAATTGAATTAGATTTGAAAAAG